CGTGATTCTCTGGTGTCGTCCAGCCGACGGCGCCAGAACTCAATCAAAGGCAAGTCAAAGTTTCAATGCAACCCATTGGAAGCAGGTTGGCTGCTGGCCGAGGGCGAGCCTTGTCAGCCAGGTGCGAGTTCGAGCAAGGAACACTCGATAATTCACAACACGTCCCACTTGAAATTCCGCAGCCAACATAACACCCACCTCCGATGAAAAAAGCGAGAGGAGAGAGGCGCAACGCATCGTCAATTTCAGATATACGGAGATCCGGTCCCGTTTACATCTCCGAATACCACTTAGCGTACGATGGTAAACACATGCACTCGAAATAATGATTTGAGACCGTCGTCTTCAAATGGTGTGAAGAATTTCTAAGCCGAATGCATCAAATGCAACGATTGCGATAATTTGTATTTACTCTTTTTGTTCAAAGGAACATGACACATTGATAATCGAAGAAACATGTAATTGCACCAGAATTTGAATAAGCACGACGAGCAACCAAATAATGCCAGAAAAAATGCCCAGATAGCCACAGATAAGAAAGCGGGCAATCATTTGTTGCGCGATGGGGTCAATGCTGATTTTTGGCGTACAAGCCACCAGATCACAAATCTACGTGTTAAAATACAAAATACCAATGAATCATTACATTGCGGAATGTCTTGTTACATTCAAACAATTTGCGGATGATCAGAGTCTTAGGACGAAAATGCATCACGCCAATAATATATTAACGTCGTCAAAACTGAACAATCTCGTTTGGTCAATCCGAAGTGTCGATAACTTGAAAGATTTCAAGCGTCTATGAAGCTTTCTCATGGGCGGCTTCATGTCCAAAACTACGCATCAGAAGTTGTCATGGGGCATTGCAGGGTCAACTTGTGTTTGGCAGAACAAGACGACCGCAGAAACACATATGCAATTGTTGTGTGTTGCCATGTTGGCAGACAGGGAAGACGAATAAGCACGTATCATATTAGCAGGTTTCGCCATGGAAACTGCAAGAGAGACGTGGGGACGGAAACTGGAGATGTTGATGTAGATTGAGCATTTCTCAATCGTGTTGAGAAGAAATATGGGGACACAATCTAGTTACATCATTGTTTACAACATGTCCGGACGATTTTGAAGTCCGAGAGCGAAAAGGAAGACGAGCAACATGGCAACGCACGCTTCGCACGTCAGGATCTATTGCCATATTTCGGCACATTTGTCTTATCGCCCGCGTGCGTGGCAAGTGCTCTCGAATTCGATACAATTTGGGACGACGTATGGCACGAATATTAGGTTTACGAGGGGCGAAGAAATCATATGACGGTTTCTTCGTGCCACGTGGGCTTCGGCTCTTGGAACGATTCCGGATGGGCCCGTGTTTCGTTTTTTAATCGTCACTGCGTTTACTTTGTTTGCAGGTGATTGCGTGTCACCGACCCTTGTCGTCTCTACATTTCGGTTTCTGTAGTCTCGAGGATCCAAATATGTGTTCCGATACTTTCGCTTTCATGTCTGGAGTTTCGGCCGTTTTGGAATTGATTTGTGTCTGTTAGCACTTTCGTGCTCATTTTTGGGTTTCGACGTTTTTTTTTGGGTGTTTGTATACATATATATATATATATATATATATTGATGCCTGCGGCTTGATTCAGACTCAACAATGAAATGCCATCGTTTCAAACAAACCGTTTTTTGTTACTCACTCGTGATTCGAAACAATTTCGTTTCAAATTCACGCTTCACGGTTTCCGTCTTCACGTTTGGAATCAGATTTGGGATCTGGCCGTCTTTGAGGTTGACCAATCATTCTTTCTGATTGATTTCGTTGTCAATCTTCGCTATCAACACTCTTTCCTTATCTGTATTTTTGAATGGCCTTGATGGCGCTTTGGCCGGTTCCAGGGGCCGGGCCGCTCCGCATCAGGTCCGGGTCTAGCCGAGTCCTGGCGTCGGTCCCGGATTTGATGGGCAAGCCTAGATAACGCGCGAGAGGGCAGGGCGCGGGGTGGCGGTGCCGCGTGGACTCACGAGCGCGGGGCGATGAACCTCTCGTCGTAGCGCTCAAGATGACTTGTGAATGGCGGTGGGCGGGCCGAAATCCTAGCCCAGTGGTCGGCCGGGGCGTGGCGCGTGTCCACGGGGGCGGGTGGTCGATGACATCGTTGGCCCTGATCGCGCGAAGAGTCAGTCTCTCCACAGACGGAACCAATAGCTGTGCTTTCCTTTGCTTCGCCGAGATAATGCTAGCTGGAGGCCTCGCGCGCCCGCGAGGGCGAGGGGCCGCGCGGCGCCGCTCTTCCAGTTTCGTCAGAAGCCGCAAATTGAACAGTGTCAACCCAAGCCTGAAAGGCAGCGGGATCAATAAGGCGAGCCCCGCGTGACGCGGCTTCCACGACGACCGCGCCCCGTCCGATGCATTGCAGCCTTCTTGTGCCGGATTGCCCTGGCGCCATATCGCGCGGGTCATCTGGCGAGCGAAACTCGGCCAGGCAGAAATATTCTGAGGGTCATCCACCAAGAGCTGCTGGAGAGCATCGCGCGCCGCGGCATCGATGAGGTCCTTGCGCCGTTCGAGCTGGCCAGTGGGGGACGCCGTGGAAAAGGCCAGTTCGTCCCGTCGAAACAGCGCGTCCAGCCGAGCACCAAATCCTTCGCGCTTGTAGACAAAAGGCGGGACTGACTTGCGATGAGTTTTATCCGCTTGCTGATGTCGCGCGCGGGGGCGAGCGGCAAGATGGTCAGAGATGTCCTGGGCGTTCAAGTCGTCTGGGGTAGGGGCCGCCGTGGCTGTGCTCGGGCTGGCTGGGGGCCCGCCCAATTCGCCCCCGAAAGCCGCGGGCGGTCCTGCTGCGCCGAGGTCCGAGTGTCTTCGCAGATGCGGGCGGGCCCCTCGGTCGCAATCTCGAGCGTGAAACATAATGCCGCCACCCGCTCCGCCATGTGCGTGCGTGCGCGATGTCGGTGGCCCTGATGTCCCAAGCAGCCTCTGGGCCCGGCGACCGAAGCGTGGCGTGGCGGGCAAAACTGAAATCTTCGCGCGCCGCCGTGAGCTTCGCCCTCGGACCGTCTTGCGCCCGTGCCAAATCCAGCTGCAGGTCAACAGTGACCTTTGCCGCATCGGCGGCAGACAGACCATGGCTATGGATGCTGTAGCGCCGAATCTCAGCCTGGGCGCAGTGCGTGGCCGTCTTGAGCGCTCTCCCATCGATGGGCGGCGCTCGCGAAGCAGAAAGGGGAGAGGGCGAGGGTAGTGGGGGCCACCGTCGCCGCGCCGCCGCGAGCATGTCCACCGCGGTCAACCTCGAAGGGGCCGAAGACAACAGAGGAGGGTGCCACTCTACGTATGAATAGCTCGAGCTCCCGAAGCATTTGGTGGACCCCCTGAATCGCGAACGCCAGATCTGTGGTCCCAGCCCTCTGGAGGTACGTCGCCTTTGCCGTGGCTTGTGCGCCTCTCGGCCGAAGAAGGGCCCTCGCGCTCCATGGGTTAAGCGGCAACTCCCCATGCTTGGGCGCCCGCCCGCCTTGCGCAGCCTTCGCAAAGATGTCGTCGTAGACGCTGAAGAAACCACTCTGGGGCAGCGTTGGACTTGGTGGTTCGCTCGGAGCAGCGCCGCGCATGAGTGCGGGTCCACCCGCGCGATGCGGGGGCAGCATCGCGCCAACAACACAAGATAGGGTAGCGACCAATCCGAGGCTCCGAGCGAAGAGTAGGGTTCCAGTTCTCCGTGGCCCATCCGTTCTGAGGATCGAAGGAGAAGTGGGCACCCGCGTGTGCTTCCCGAAGAGCTGCCGCCATTTTTTTGCCGGCGATCTCCACATTGTTCAGGCGCGGAATTCTATCGGGGCTCGCGTGCAAGTGAGTAGAGCCACCAGAGGCAGCAGGTACAGAAAAACGCATCCATTGATTTTTACCAAGGAGCCGAATATCAACGCGTGCTCGGACAACACGCCGCCCTCTGGCAGCGACGGCCCCAGTGAACTGAGCCGTGAAGATACGGTCGAAATCTTCCCCCCAGTGAGCTGGTGCCCGTCGATCTTCGCATCTTTGAGCAATTTGTCAATCGACGAGACCGCATGAACCTTCTTGACGACCGTGGGCGCCGCAATCTTGAGGATGACGCCGTCAACCTCGCGCTGGAAACCAGCGCTGGATGGCGTAGGGGGATGCGGTGCTCGAAGTGCGAATCCCAGTTCACGCCACATTTCGTCCATGGACGATCGCACCTCTGCCATTTGAGGTGCAGTTTCCGGTGCGTCCATCGATTGCTTCCAGTTTGGCAGAGTGTGTCGACCTGAGCTTGACACCGTCCCCGAGCACGTCGATCTCTGGCTTGGACGCTTCTTCCACCTGCGCTTTGTGTGTGCCAGGGTCTGCTTGGACCGCATTCTCTTACGCCTTGATCGCTGCTGTGACGGGGCCGATGGCACGCCCAACTGCCGTGCTTGCGTTGACTCGAACTATCCTTTTGGGCTCCGACTTGAATAATTTGAACTCCGCCCCAAACTTTTCGTCGGTGGAACCCTTGATGCGTGTATCCTGTACAGCTCGGCCCATTGCGTCCTCATCGTCGACGTTGGCGCGACTGGAACGAGACCTGTCGTCTTCATGGGCATCAGAAGCAGCGGGCCGACAGCCATCACGAGCGTGAACACCAAAACGGTCACCAACCCCAACTTTGTCTTGGCCTTCTTTTCCCCAGCCCCAGTCGCAAACCGGGCACACATAGCCTGGCAAGAACGGGGAACTCCACCGTTTACTCACCAGACCGTCCGTGGGAGGCGGAATTTGCTCCAACAAGAACTCGAAAAAACATAAGAATTGTCCGCGGACTAACGGTATTTGTTTCCGCGGGAACGGACATCTTGAGCCAACACGGCTACGGAAGGAGGGTGAGGGGGAGGAGGAAGATGAGGAGGAGGACGACGAGGAGGAAGGGGATGACAAGGACACCGAGGATAGGCATCGACAGTGCCGTTCTGGCGGCGGGGGTGGCGGGCGAAAGGGCCTCGTTGGCGCCGTAGACCACTATGGACATCTCGGCGCCCTGCCCCACTGCCGATGCCCTCTCAGGCCGCGGGCAGACCCTGATCTCCGACATACTCATCAAGTCAAACCGTAAACTGTTCGCCGTCTTCGGCCCCCAGAAGCCCGCACCAGGTCGGGTAACTGTCACAAACGACTTAGGATGAAAAGCTGGTCATGGGGAAGAGGTTGGAACTTCTAGGAACCATGTGTTGAACAAGTCAAGACGTCGGATCTCTGGGGAGTGGCACATGGGTCTGGGCAGCTCCGCACAATTACCAGCGACAGAGTGGGGCAGACGCACGACATTCACGACATCGCCAGTGTGGAGCTACACTCTTGGAGTATCCTCAAGCAGCTGAGCATGGGCAGACCACCCTCCCACAACGTGTGGGAAGGACGCCTTTTGCGAAAATGGCTGCTTCTTGGAAGGGTGCCCCTTTCATGGCAAGTCCGTGTCGTGAGGACATCGGCGCTGGTTTCTGACACCGTATGGATCTTCCAACCTTGAACGATCGCGGCTTTCCGATAGCTCGGACTGTTCGATGTCAGCCGCTTCTGGGTCATCTGGGGGGGGGGCACATCTCTCGAACGCCGCGCGTGGCGCGGCGTGCTCGAGAGACCCCCTGTGGCCCTTCGGTGCCGCCCCCCCGCGCACGCCCTTCCCTCTCAAAGGGGGGGGGAGGGGGCAAATGGGGGGATCTCAGACACTCGCTCCAGAGCTTGCAGGCCTTGCCCTGGCTCGGGCTGCCCGACGTGTGGGCTGACCTGCCGACGCTCGATGGCCGCGCCGTCCTGCCCTCGGGAGCCCCGCGGGGGCCCCCCGTGCACAGCAGGCTCGCTGGCGAAGGTCCTGCCCCCCATGCAGCTGCGCGTGCTGCGTGGCGCGGCCCTCTCCTCGCGCACGGCGCACCGCGGGAAAGGGAAGGGATGGGGCGGAGATGCGGAAGCCACTCGGAAGGGCTTCCCCCAATGAGGCTTGCCTAGGGTCAGGTCGGGCGTGTCCCCCTACAGTTCTTTTTTGGTTGGCGATATTAAACAAAATGCAAAACAAATGCCCTCCGAATGGGCAAATTGTCAAAACATCGTCCCCAGACTAATTATCAAAACTATTTTTGGAGATCCCTCCAGTAGAGGGACAGGCGCGACTTAAGCCTAGGGCTTCTTGTCTGGTTCAGAAAAATGGTGCCTCGGGGGGGCCCGTTGCCCGTTGCTCGGAAACTCCTCGGAGACTCCTCGGGTTCTCAAGCAGCACCAGGCAACGCCAATCAATACCAAGCACTGCGCCCTTGCAGCAGGAACCTGTCTTCTACCTGGGGTCGCGCCGGGTTATCTGTGTGTGTGTGTGTGTGTGTGTGCGTGCGTGTGTGTGTGTGTGTGTGCGTGTGTGGGTGCGTGTGTGTGTGTGTGTGTGTGTGTGTGTGTGCGTGGGTGCGTGTGTGTGTGTGTGTGTGTGTGTGCGTGTTTTTTTTTTCCAGGAGGTGGTGAGTGATCTTAAGCAGACGGGGGTGCACGAGCCTGCCCCCGGCACCCGGCTCGGCGGAGGCCGCACCCGCCGAGGCGGGGCCACGAGAGCGCGGAGAGCAAGCACACGGGCCACGGGCCCCTGCGCCGAGGGCCAAGGGCCCCGTGGAGGTGCCGAGAATTACCAGCCTGGAACATATCCCTATCCCTAAGCTGGGCACCTCCTCATCACGGTGCCAATCTTGGGGATTCCCTTATTTTTTGAGGGCGAATCCCTAAGATTGTCATCGCCTTTTGGCGTGTCAATCTTAGGGATAGGGATACGTTCGAGGCTGGTAAGAGAACGAAACGCCTCGTACGGTTGGGGCCCTCCCGGCGAAGAACATAAACTACTTGCCGTCGCTCGGACGTCCACTTCCCGTGCATGTTTCGGGTTCGTGCGTGTGTTTTTTGCCGGATGGTCCAGGATGTTCCTCCAGGGCCCTCGCCGAGAAAAACATGCACACGTCCGAGCGATGCCAGGTAAAAGGGCACCCCTCCCGGCTCTCGTGCCAGCTGTGTTTAAGTCATCCGTTCCCCGCCACACGCGAAATTAGTGTTCTCTACGAGCTCTCGAGGCGGGGCAAGCAATACACGCAAGCCTGACGCCGATTGCCACCGTGAGATGTCGTTCGATGCAGTCTCCCAGCACGCGGGAGCATGGGCAATCCACAGCTTGCGCGAGCGCGATGGGGAGAAGAGGGATTTCTCAGATGCGGACCCCGTGCGGCATCTCAACTTGCAAAAATGAAGCTAACGGGCGCCATTTGCCAGCCTGGTTAATGCCGTGACGCTAATGTTTCATGAAGCGGGGGGGAGGGAACAAACACTCCACAACACGGAGCACCCAGCCTTGAACCTAGCAGAGTATCCGAACAGACCTACCAGAACGAGCCACGCACATATCGGATTGAATCTAAACGATCGAACACACCACAACGCAGAACTGAGCTTGCCACCCGAACGTCGGACACATATCTACGTTACCAAACGGGCCTCCTCGACTGCCTGGCCTTCTTCGCGTTCTACCTCCACCTCCACCTTCGTCCTAACAAAGCCTCCAGGAATCTTCGGAAGGCTCCAGATGCCCCTGGAGGCCTTCGAGACCCAATCAGGATAAAAGCATCCTCATCCCTCGTCTTCCTCCAAAGAGCTGGGGCAATCAACAAATACCGATACCGCTACTCCCGGAATCTCTCCTGGGGTGCGTTCAGACCAGATCTTCGAGGCGACCCCAGCCGTGTCGACGAGGGCCTCCCAGGAGGCCCAAGAAGCCGAAAGCGAGGCACGGCAAGCGATCGGTGCCTTTTCCTCCTCTGACGAGCGACGAAGACCTCCTCCCTTCTCTTTTTCTTCTTCTTCTTCCTCCTCCTCCTCCTCCTCCTCCGCTCCTCGCCTCTCCTCCTCTCCCTTGCTCTCCCGACCCCGAACCCCTCCCCGGTGGCAAATCGCCCGCCCGCGAAAGCGCAGACGCAATACACTTCGTACCGCTGGTCGTCGAAGGCACGCGCGCACGTCCATCTCCTGTGAGCCGGGCTTTGCCATCGACCCTCGCGAGGGAGGAGGAGGTGGAGGAGGAGGATGAGGAGGAGGAGGGTGAGGAGGAGGAGGAGGAAAAAGAGGAGGACGAGGAGACAGAACGGAGGAGGGAGCAGGGAGGAGGAGAAGGAGCACGAGCGGGCTCAACGTTGTAGTTCGCTTCAGGGGCGGGCTGGGAGGCGCAGGGCAAGCGCGAAACTCGTGAAGTCAAGCTCTTTTGCCACAGGGGCGCTCCTCGAGGGTCAGATTCCACACCGGGGCATTTTGGAAACTGGGGCGGCTCACGCGGGCTTACCATTTCTGGGACTCCGTGTGGCTCTCCCCTGTGAAAAAGACTGCCAACGACGAATGGGCAGAAGTGCGTGTGCGCGCTGGCTTACACTTCAGATCAGTAGTGCCAGTTTGACTGGGCTCCTTGTCTGCTTGTCTTGCGCAGTTGTTTTGCCTATTTCGAGTTCCCTAGACGTTCCCCCCCTGGAGCAAAGGCTGGGCCTCCCATCCCCTCGTCTCCCTCCCCCCTCTCCTCCCCTCCCCTCCTATCCCCTCCCCTCCCCTCCTCTTCTCCTCTCCTCCTCTCCCTCCCCCTCCTCCTCCCCTTTCTCCCCCCCCTCCTCCCTCCACTTCCCGTCCTCTCCTCCCCTCCCTCCCCCCTATTTACTCCTCCCCCTGGCCTTCCAGGCGCCTTCGAGCGGGAATCGCCCGTGTATCGCGGAGAGCGCCCCGCGGCGGGGCCGAGACCAGATGCAGCAGACTTCGTAAACCCTTCTCTGCCCTTCCCCCCCCTTCGTCCTGCCCGAAAAGGGGGGGGGGGACTGGCTCACTGTGGGGGGAACCTGGACTCAGCATCGGCGACGCGTCGCCGACTGATCGGCGGCGGGCCCTCGATCGCGCGAAGCCGCACGCAGCGGGGCGGGGGTCGGAGCATCCGGGAATGGGCGGCTGGGGCCGATGCTTCCCGGACCCCTGGGGCAGTGCCCCCCCCCACCCAAATCGGCGTGGCTGACGCTCTTCCCCCTTCTGCCGCGTGGCCTCGGCGGGCGGGTTCAGGTGTGCCCGTCGCTGCCGCCGATGCCGCACCGTCGGGACGGGATCTGGTGCCTCGTTCAGTTCCAAGGGTGCTCCTCCTCCTCCTCCTCCTCCTGCTCCTCCTCCTCCGCAATGTGGCTCTCGCCTTAGCGCCGCGCACAGCCGTCTCACAGATGTACACAAACGAGTTTCACGTGTTGAGAACAAGTGGTTTTCAAGATGTTGCTCTCGCCTAAGCGCCGCGCACAGCCATAACAAAAAACAAGAGTTTCACGGATGGCAGGCGAGTGGTTTTCAACACGTGGCTCTCGCCTTGGCGCAGCGCACACTCGTCATAGCAGTGTGCAAGCAGCTTCACAGATGGAGGGCGGCTCCTTCTCAACATCTTCCTCTCGCCTTAGCGCCACGCACAGTTCGTTTCAACAGCTTACATCCGTTTCAAAGATTCTCGTGGTCCACGCCCCAGATATGGTATTCTAGCAAGATGTCGGATTGTCAGGGCGCAACAGTTGCGTTGATTCGTGGGTTTGAAGTCCCAGACACAACGTTCTGGCACAATTCAAGATCGTCAAGATGCAACAATACCGGCGAATCGCGGCGTTGAAGTCGCAAGACTAGGTGCCCTGGCGCAGTTCGGGCTTTTCAATGGGTTGTCTTCCAACAGGGCACTTCCTTCAGTTGAAATCAATCCTCGTAGGCTCGTAGGGGCCTATGAAGAGGGAGCCTGGAGGGTTTATTGCAACATCGTTGATGAGTCTTGGGGTTGCCCTGGTCCTCCTCCTTCTTCTTCTCCTCCTCCTCCTCCTCCTCCCCTGCGCCTGGGGCCACCGTGATCACAAGTTCGGCAGCGGCCCAATCGCCCCTTTTGACTCCGAGCTGCCCTGGAGTCCGCGTCCTCCCGCTCCCTCCCCTCCTCCCCTCTGCCTCCCCCCTCAGCTCCGACGCAGTCTGGAGCCATGGCTTCGCTCGAGGAACGAATAACTGAATGCACGCGAAAGTTTCGGAGCTCCGCGCGGATGTCTTGGATCGGCGCTGGGCCCCCCCTGGGCTTAGGTCGGGCCTGTCCCCCTACAGGCGGATTTTGGACGAAACATAAAAAGTACGAAACAAATACCCCCAAAGGGCCAAAAATAGTTAAAACATCGCCCCCAGACTATTGTTTTACTATTTTGGAAAATTCCCCCTGTAGAGGGAGACTATTTTTTCCCTACCTAGGCTCTGCCTAGAAGGGTTCTTACTCGCTTGGCTTAAAGGGGCCGGGCAGTGCAAACCGCCCCGGGCGGTTCCCCCAGTCCCCTGGGAGCCAAGCAAAAGCAACAGCAAAGGTAAAAGCAAACGCGCGGTTCCCCCAGTTGCGCTCCCTGGGTGCCAAGCAAAAGCAAAAGCAAAGGCAAAAGTGAAGGCAAACGCGAAGGCAAATCATAATCATATCATAACATAGCATAGCATGGCGCAGCATAGCATAGCGCAGCATAGCATAGCATAGCATAGCATAGCCTAGCCTAGCCTGGCCCAGCATAGCATTGCGCAGCATAGCATAGCATAGCATAGCATAACATAGCATAGCATAGCGCAGCACAGCATCCACTATTGCTGCTGCGATATATATATATATATATGTGTATATATATATATCTACTTATATATATATATATAGGTATGCGTGTGCGCACGTATGTTCCATGAATCTTGTCCGTCTGTGGGCCATCTTGAACCCTTTGTGGGGCAGCTTGAGCCCTTAGGATTCACGAAGGTTTCGCACATAGCACCGGCCGGGAGACCGGCCGGGAGACCGGCCGGGAGCAGAAGCAAAAGCAAAAGCAACTGCTTTCCTAGAGGCTCCAACTCCTACGTAGGGTCGCACTGGCGTAATTGACAATTTTAGAAAATTCCCCCTGTAGAGGGACACGGCCGACTTAACCCTGGGCTCAGCTCTTGCACGGCCCAGGAGGCCGCCCCGCTCGCTCCCGAGACGCGCTCGGCGCGGGCGCAGCGGCCCGCGGCAAGGGGCCCTGGCAGAGGCCCTCCGCGTAGCCGAGAGCTGGCGATCCCGCTCCCAACCGGCGCTGGCCTCCTCGCGCCTCTTGCCTGCTGCCTGCTGGCTCCTCCTCCTCCTCCTCCTCCTCCTACCTTTTACCTTGTGCCAAACTCCCTCCCTTCCTCCTTCCCTGGTCCTCCTCCCTCCTGACCTCCTCCTCCTCCTCCCCCTCCTCCTCCTCCTTCCCCTTCTGACCTTTTGATACATTTCCTCCTGCCTCCTGACCTCCTCCCCCTCCTCTCCCTCCCCCTCCCAATCCTCCTCCCTTCCTGCCTCCTCCCCCACTCCTCCTACTCCTCCTCCTTCTCGCTTTCCTCCTGCTGCCTCCCTCCCCCCCTGGCTGCCCTCCCCGCAGAGCGAGAAGAGCGTCCTGACGTCCCACGCCCGCACCGTCTGGTCGATGCTGCAGGATAGCAACCAGCCGGGCCCGGAGGACAGGCCCACGACCCAGCCTGGCGGGACCACGGGCGCCTAGACGTTGGCACGGCCCTTTGGCTTTGGTACCTTGAGCCGTCGATGTCTGCCCTGCGCACCGACCTGGCGATGCCTAGGCATTCGCCGGTCCGATGCCTAGGCATCCCCAGGACGATGCCCAGGCATCGCCAGGTCGATGCCTAGGCATCACCAAGTCTATGCCTAGGCATATGCTACGCCCAGCTGAGTCCATGGACGCATCCCTCGATGCATGCGTAGGCATCTGTGCAGGGGGCTCAAAGTGATGGCTGGGAGCAGAGCCAACGGGCCGACCCAGCCTAGACGGGTGCCTAGATGGCGTCGACGGATCGCGCCGCATCGGTGATGCATCGGCGACGCCGGCCATGCATCGGTGCCGTCGGCGTGAAGAGAACCGGGCTCCACATCAATCCGCATCGCAGATGCAGCGGCGATGCGGCGCGATCCTCCGACCCCAGATGCCGGGACACCACCTGGGAGGCCTGGAGAGAGGGCGCCGGCGGAAAGCTGGAGGGCAAAGCGGGCGCAGGCAATTCAAGCTTGAGGATCCATTTTTCGTTGTTTTCGGCGCCCAGAGGCCGCTTGCAGGCCGTGGGGCCGCCAGGACTCGATCCAGGGGCACGACGCTGGCCGAAAGGGACCCTGGGAGGGTTTCGGGGGCCGGATTTAACCGGATTCCGATCAGAATCGGGCAGGGGGGAAAGGACGCTGGCGCAGAGCCGCAGGAGCTCGAGCCAGAGGGGGGCCAGCGCAGGGCTGGAGGAGCTGGCGCCAGAGGGGCGCCAGCGTAGTGCTGGATGAGCTGGAGAAGCTGGCCCCACCTCGCCCGCTCTGTGCTGTCTGGTCGGCGCTGCAGGGCAGCAGCCGCCCAGAGGTCCAGGGGACGGCTCCGCGACCCAATGCGAGGCTGAAATGTGACGCGGGCTACAATACCTTTTTGCTCGACGACCGGGGCTGTGACCAACAAACCGGTCTTGTGTAAGGTGACTGTGCGACCACCTGTCGCGGGACCTGGAGGACCTGCATCATCGGAAGCAGTGCAGGCATATAACTCACGCGATGCGCAGGTCAGCTGGGCCGAGCGGCGTCTGCATGCGAGCACATGGGGAGGGACGGGGGGAGGGTTCGAGGCTCGAGGTTTTTGGGGTATCTCTCGTCCTTTCTGGGCCTCCTGGCAGCCTCTCATCGCCAAGGCTGCACGCCCTCCTTGAAACCCATGACAAAATGCAGCCGAGGACGAGTCTGGCGGTCCAGACCTGCAGTCATCCTGCCACCACCAACGAACGCCCAAAAAGGAACAGCTGGGGCGCTTTCGTTGCCACGGCGACCCTCGGCAACGAACAGGCCCCCCGACCCAAACTCGCAGAACGGCCCGAAAACCAGAGCCCCCCCCTGAGCCCAGAATGGTCCTCGCGGTCGGAAGCTGTCGGATAGCGCGTCGCCCTGGCGGCCCTGGCGACACGCGATGCCTTGCAAGCGGATAAGGTGCCGCTTCGCGCCGCGGGGCGAGAGGCTCGGAAGAGCTCGGGCAACTTGCACGCGAATGTCAACGCAATCGAGCCCCCGTTTTTCTGCGTCGGTGAATGCAATGTCCATCCCCCGTGCGGGCAGGAGGGTGGGTGCTGCTCGCCGAAAACGGCAAGCTGCTGACAAAGGAAGCGGCCGGCGGCCCCAGGGTAACAACGCGCAACACGCAACTCTGATGTTGCAGCGCGCCCCCCCGCCCCAAGTCATCTCGTCCTGAGATCACATGCGCGCGGGCATGAGTTCTCGACCAAACATTACATCTGGTTCTAATCGACCGAAGTGTCGGCCAGCGCTCACATGCAGGTACTCCTCCGAATGAAGCGACAATCCCGTAGGCCTGTCACAGGAGGCCACAAGAGGCTCAGGGCCTCGGAGTGCGATGGAGCACCGTGGGCCCCCTACAGGGTTGGGTCGTTTTTGGCCAGTCGGCCGACCAATCTGCCAGGACAGTTCAGGCTCGAGAGGCCTCTTGAGCCGCTATTCGCGCTCGAATACACTCCAACCAGGGTAGCGGAGCGGCGGAAGCGTTTAAAACATTCTGCCTTGCCACCCGCAAGCACGCAGTAGCCTCCTCGTGCCCGACTTGCTTTTCAAGCTCAGCACAGGAGGCACGCGCATCACGCTGGGGGTGCCAGCCACGTTGGAGGCGCGTCAGCGCTTGGGCCGCACCCCCTTTGCGTTTTGGCTGACACTTCAAGGCGAACTTCCGTATTTCTCCTGAATGTACGCGCCGCGCGCCATGCAGGAACAACAATGGCAGCTCCTCGTCTCCAGCCTGGGTGCTTGCCAACTGGTGGCCGTGCTCTGGGGCGCTGGCGAAGAGCCTAGTCACGCGCTCGGGAAACCCCTGGCTCGCTCCTGGAAGTCCCCCTTGAAACACACCACACAGCGAGAGCATCGGTACCTCCAGAGCCACTGCTCCCAATAGTACCACGCGGTGGCCTTGCCGAAGACCTTGCGCGGGCGCTCCCTGCGCGGTGGCCTCTGGTGGGTCGCGCACCGAAAACAAGGCAGCGCCGCTGCGGCCAACCTAGCTACAGTTTCAACTTGCCTAATCGAGTGCTTCAGCTGAAAACCATTCAGCTTCGGACGGACGAAGGTGGATCTCAACGGCCCTCTTGGCCTCGACGTCCGCCCTCCAGTTAGCTTGTCCTATACTACGCTCGGGTTGCGGCAGCGTGTCTATAACCTCTACCTTTCTATGGGCAGGCGTGTGAACAGCTGGGGCAAACTCCGCTTGGGGCATGTGGATCAGGGCGCCTCGCCAAGGACCTCCATGCCTCTATTCAGGACTGCCTTGCTCCGTGGGCGTCTCATTGTGCAGCTTGGCCGCATTCGTGCAATCATTGTAGCACGTCTCACGGAAACCAGACGCAACACTTGGCAACGGAAACAGCTGCAGCTGCTCCGCAGCCTGGTTAATCTGAGGGAGGGGCGGCCATGCAGCTCCTCGCGCCACGTGCTTTCGGTTTCCAGTGCCGTGGAAACATTAAGCTAGGACTCCGCAGCCCTAGATACCTCCGCGACGGTGTGAGGCGCGCAGGGCCCATCCCCAGCCTGGAATAACCCACTGCAAGCAAACTCGTCCCAAGGAGCTACAGTGCCACTATCATCGCACAGTGCGGGAACATGGTCATCGCTAGCCGGGGGCCGAAAAACTGACGGGATGCTCCATCTTGAGGCCCCTGAGGACATACAAGTTGCCAGCCAGTGCGTCTGGACAGAAATTGGCTGGCATATCCACCTCCCTGGCCTTCGCGACGTCGTCGTGCTGGCCCTCGGAGAACCCCTGCCCTCAAAGGTTTGGCTCCTGGTGCAACGGGCAAAACCCCAGGCAGGAGTGCCCTGCGCGCCTGGCTCTATTCTCGGTCCAACAACCATCGTAAAAACGGGATTTCACCGAGTGCTTCCCCTGGGCATTTAAACCGATGCTTTTGGTCCGCGGGTTGGTAATCCCACGGATCGGCCCCGCGCGAACTCTGGCGCCAAGAATGTAACCCAACTTATTCGCCAAAATCCGCTCCTGGTGCCTCTGGGCCTCTTTCCATGGAGGGCGCAGCGTGCGCAGGACTGTGTTCGACTACTTCATCATCGACCCAGTCGAGGGGGGACGAGGTTCGGCCGATCCGCTGGAGGCGCAAGCCCATGCGACTGAGTCGGCCCCCACTTTCACCCTCGCTTCCCTCCGCGTGCTGCACAGGGCCTGGCGGCGGCGCTCCACGCCGCCTGCGCCCAGGCAACAGCGGGGGCCATCATGCTCCTCCACCGGGGGTCTCCTGCGAGAACTTTCTCGGCGCCCATGGGGGCCCCCGCGCGTCTCGGCTCGGGGAGAAAGAAGCACCCCGCGGAGGAGCTTGATCTCAGCATCCGTATGCCAACGACGGTGCCACCGCACGTCGGAGCAGGTTTGGGCCCCCGCAATGTACATCTGACCGATCCTTCCTGGATCCCTGGGGGGGGGCCCTCCCGTGTCGGGCCGGAATGCGGCGCGTGCCTCGAAGCCTGCGCTTCCTCCGCGCTAAGTGCCCTTTTCTGGTGTGCTTTCGGCCCCCACGGGGCCAGATCGCAACCGAAGGGCGCGGCGTGGGTGCCGACCTGCCCCGCCACGATGCCGGGGCGTTCCCGCCGGCGACGAGCGATCGCGGAGTCCGAAGCAAACGGCGTAAGTTTGTCAGGAGCCCGCCCTCTTGGCCGCCTGAGGCCCCGCCCGCCTTTGCCCTGTCTCCCCAAGTAGAGCTGTGCGTAGCCCGCCTAGCTTTTAGCGGAAGAGGTTCGCTCTCGCCCCGCCGACCAAAAAGTTTGTCAGGAGCTAACTAGACTCCCAGCTCCTCCGTGAAGGCTCAGAGGAGGTCCGCCGCCTCGCGGCACAGGGTCTCGACGACCGCCTGCGCCTGCCCGCGGCAGTTGACCGCGTGGTCATCGTTTTGTGGCGCCAGGTCAATGTCAGGGTTGCGACGCGCGAGTCCGTCGAAGGGCTTCATCGCAGGCGCCCGCGCGAACGTGCCATCGACAAATGCGAGCAGCGCTGCCGAGCTGTGGTCAGAGCCTAGACGCGGGATCCAAGGGCCTCCCAGAATTTGAAGGCGATTTTCATTATGATAGGATCCAGGCCCGCAGCGGAGCCTCTCTGCTTCATTGGCCCAAAAAAGAAACTTTCGTGATACGTCGTTCCGTCCCACGAGAAGCCCGCGGCAACTCCGCCACCTTCCACCTTGGCTTCCGCCTTGGCCGCGTGGCCCCAGACGCAAGCTTCCGCCCGCTTTCCTGCTCCAGAGGCCCGGGCGCCCTGGGGCTGGCGTCTTTAAATTGGGCGAGCCGGGGCCTCCTCAGCCGCCCCCGCGGGCGCGCGGGCGCCGATCGCAAACGAATGTGCCTCGGGCCTCAGTTGGGCTTCTCAAGCAAGGGGGGCGGCGTTCAGTGCGGCGGTTTGGGCAGCAATCCAAGTTTTGCAATCGCCTGTAAGATGCGAACC